GCGTATAGTACGAAGTTTTCACAGGCTTTTGGGTACTCTATATAGTAAAACAATAATTTCGGGAAATGTCAAATGAGGAAAGCAAAAGCTCAAAAGGGAAAGAATGAGGCTACAGAGAGTTTGAGGATTTTCATTGAAAGGGCGGTTGCCTCTCTCTGCATCAGCCTATGATTTCTCCATTACTGTAAGAACTCCAATAACAGCCCTTTTTATCAATTTTAACGGAGGGAGTATATATATATATATTAAGGGTTTCTTATACCCTTCCACTCTTTTTTTCTTTTTCTTTTTTTTTAATGCTTTCGCCGGAGCATTCTATGCTTGCCGGTGGAGCTGGTGGAAGCGGTGACGGTGAGTATAATCGACGGCTACAAAGAGGCGATGATGATTTTATCATTCCCTTCTGAGCTCATTAATTAATCGGGACATTTTGAGATAACCCGACCCGTATCTTGGCGGGGCAATGCCCTCAGGTTTACCCTGGTGGGTTTTGCAACCATGGCGTCGTTGGACTCTCCTTTTGCCTCAGGTTAAACACTGATCTGAGCCTCAATATATGTGCCAATTTTAGAAATTTCGGCTAATTTTGGAATGTGATGTAGAGGATTCATACCGATTTGTTATGAGGCTTAGTAGTTGTTGATGTTGTTGTTTTAGATGATGGAATGATTTGACTGCATGAATTGCAAAATTCACAATTTAGTTTTCTCTGTTTTATCCATTAATGGAGCTCAAAAGGCCTAATCTCTTGTTTCACTGGTTGTCAAAATGGACTTTTTAGTTATGCTTTTCAAAATGCCAAGAACTCCAAAAACTGTGAAAGTCTCATTAGTTTTAAGTCTGAGGCTGTGGTGAATGCAGATAGCTGTAGGGAGTTTTAATGAGTGGTTTTGCCCCTCCCTGGCATTCTCTGCTGCCAGTGATCACTTAAATGAGAAGTTTTCCAATTACAAAACACTCTTTTGGTGAAATTACATAATGACCTGGCTAGTTTCCTGTTCTTGTTATACTCTTCGTTTCAATGCAATTAGGCTGTGAAGATTTTAGTCTTCTGTGGGAGATGAATCAGGCATTTTCTCTTGAGCTGAAAACACTGTATCTTGGCATGGCAGCTCAGATGGGTCTGAGATTTGGGGAGCAAAGTTCCATTTTTGGTGTTTCTTCTGTCTCATAAGGCTAACTGTTGCTTGCAGCCATGCCAGGTTTTAAATTTCTTTTGATTTTGTCTGAAAAAGGTGGGATTTTGAGCCTCCCTTATGCCCTAAAGTGCTAAAAGAATGAGCCTTTTATGACTCGGAGAGTGCAGGAGTCTCTAAGGTTGGGGTTCTCTTTCTCTGTGAGTTCATAGTTGATGAATTCTCTTGGTTTAGGGACAAGTTATGCCAGCGCGATGAGTATGATTGACAGCATGAAAGTGGCGAAGATAATTTTGTAAATCTATCATATTAATCGGGCAATTGAGATTATCGACACGTATCTGGGCGGGCATGCTCCCAGGTCTCCCCTGGTAGGTTTTGCAGCCATGGCTTCACCGGATTCTCCTGGTGGGTTTTAAGGGGCTATCTATCTATTTGGCCTATCTAAACTAACAATACAATGGGTAACAACAACCCAAACAAGCTTTTATTGGTTCGTTTGGTTTAGAGACAAGTTATGTCGATGATGGTGACTGTGGCTTGAAAGAGGCGATAATGATTGTGGATCTTCCATTCTTTCTAAGCTTATTAATCAGGCATTTGATATTATCTGGCCTGTATCTTGGCGGCGCATGCCTCCAGATTTCTGGTGGTCTTTGCAGCCATGGCGTCGTCAGATCTCCTTTTGCTTGAGTTATAACACAGATCTGAGCCTCGACCGAAGCAGGGGTGATTTGCTCAAATAGGATGCTTTGATGCCATTGTTTATATTTTGTCGCGTAAGTATCTTTCCAAATCTCATTAGTTTAAGTCTGCGGTGAAGCAGAGAGTTGTGGGGAGTTCCAATGGGTGGTTTTTCCCGTCTCTGTCATTCTGGGTTGCCGCTGATAAATTTTTCTGATTGCAAAACCCCACCCTTTTTGTGAAATTTCACAGGACCCTCCCTCTTTTCCTTTTTCTACTCTCTGTGCTTCTTTTTCGGAAATATCCTTTCATGCCTTCTCAAGGTAGAGGTAAGGTCTACGTACACACTAACCTTCCCCATCCCACTTGTGAGATTCAACTGGGTTTGTTGTTGTTGTCGTTGTTGAGGCTATGAAGATTTTATCTTCTGCGGAAGATGAAACATATATTTCTATTGAGCTGAAGAAAACTGTAACTTGGCGTGGCAGCTCAGATGGGTCTGTGAGATATGGGGAGAGAAGTTTCATTTGTGGTGTTTGTTCTCTGTCTCATGACATACTGATGCTTGCAGCCATGGCGGTTTTCAAATTTTTTTGTTCTCTGGAAAACAGAGAACCCGAGCCTACCCAGAGGTTCTTACCAGTAAAGCAAAGAGTTACGCATAGCTTAGAGAATGAGGCATCAGAGACTGGGATTTTTTTGTACAGGATGGTTGCCCCTCTCTGCTATGCCCGTGATTTATCCATTGATAACCAGAAAAACCAACAGCCCTTTCAAATAAACAAGAAAAAAGAAAAAAAAATCTTTCATCCAAACACACCCCTGTACATTTCTTCGTTTTCCTCTTCTCTTTGTGCTGCTGCTACTTATGTTGTAAAGGGGCTGTGAGGCTGTGATGATTGCTTTCCGTTCTTGGCTATGTTTGGTCATGGCATTGAGAAAATACTGACTGTATCTTGGCGAGGCTACAGTATGGCTTTGTATAGCAAACTGGTGTCTGCAGCCATGGCGGCGTCGCTTTCTCTTTTGTTTAGTTCAAATACGGAAAATCTGAGCCCTCAATACCTATTTCATGTCCTTCAATGGTGAGCCAATTATTCTCTTTTGAGAGATTTTAACCAAAAGACACTTGTAAGTCTCATTTTAAGACTGTAACAGAGATTTTAAACCGAAAGGACTGTAATTCTTGATTTAAGAAACTAACTCGTACTTATCTCCTTTTTTCTCCTCTCTCACTACCCCACATGTAATTTATATACAGAGAAAAGAGGAGAAGAGAGCTGGGAAATTCTGATGTGAAAAACCAAAGAATTCCCCCATAAAAGGCAAAGGTTAGTCCAGAAAGGAAAGAAATGAGGCAAAACAGAGAGTATTGGGATTTTCTTTGAAAGAGTGGTTGTCCCTCTCTGTTCCGCCATTGATTTTTCTCCATTATCAAACAACCAACAGCCCTTTGTTTATGAGAACAGCAGAAACTGGAAAAGGACTTAACTTATATACATTCCTAATACATGGTATTACTGCTTTATTGAGTATATTTCATTGGTTGTATTCATTGATTTTCTATTTGTATTAAGAGTATTTTACTGTATTTCACTGTATTGTTGTTTTAAATATAAATGGATACAGTTAGGTTGAAAATACAGATGAATACAGTTAGATTGAATGCATAACTAATTGATGATTAAAATCAAAATGATAGAACTAACAATGTATTTAAAAATGTTGTTGTAATAACTCAAATACATATAAATACATCTAAATACAACAGTCAAAAATCACCGTACAAAATAAAAATCAGTGTATGCCTTATCGAATACATATAAATACATCTAAATACAAGAAGAGAAAACCACTGTAGAAACTAAAAATCAATGTATGCGGACTCGAATACATATAAATACATTACAATTAGGGTCATTACGTATTTTTGTTCTCCTTTCGGCTTTAATGGTTGTTGATGAACTTGCAAATACAGGTTTCTCTTGAGCGATTTGCAAATTGAAAGATGACTTTAGTAGGTATTCTGCAGAAAACCTAACAATTGTGAATATTTTAAAAAATACTGTTGAAGAGAAAAAGAAGAAGTTTTAACCAGCAAAAAATCCAAAAACTTTAGTGGTGAGGTGAAAACATGGCGGCGCTTATCGGATTTGAAAACGTGAATGATGAAAGTTTCATGACCGTCGGATTGGACGGAAATGGTCACCGAAGTGAGGCAGAAAGAGATAATAATGTAAAACAATGAAAGAGTGGAAATTGACACCATTATAGACCGTCTGTCGGAGGAAACCAGTTTTCTAGTTCATATAGCAAAGAATGAGAGAGATCGTAGAGAGAGAAATAAGATACTATGCTTGATTGTGAGAGAATAAACTGAAATAATGAGTGAGAAAAATATTAGATAGCATATTTAATGGCTTAACGGTAACAAATAATCATAAATATATATTTTATTATAAAACCTAAAAGGTAGGTATAAAAAATAATATTTATTTATAATAAATATGTCGTAAAACTTACAACAGGAGGTAAAATTTCATATAATAATCTCTCACACAACTAATACAATATAATAGGTAGTATAAATAATACGCATATTTTAAATTATGGGAGAATTCAGATTACCAAAAAACGAACACAAAGCAAAAAGCTCGGAAGGGAGAGAATGAGGCTACAGAGAATTGTAGGATTTTTCATTGAAAGGGCGGTTGCCTCTCTCTGCATATTAGCCTATGATTTCTCAAACTATCCCAACAGCCCTTTTATAGCCTATTTTAGAGCCGCTGTTTATACATAGGGAGATTTGCACAAATAGGATCATTTGAATTTTCACTACAGTATGCATTTTCCTTTTACGCTTCCGCCGGAGCATTTAATGCTGCCGGTGGCGGTGGCAGAAGTGGTGGTGGTGAAGTATAATCGACGTGCTTAAAAGAGGCGATGATGATTTTCACAAATTTTGTAATTCCCTTCTGAGCTTATTAATTATTCGGGGCGTTTTGAGATAATCCGACCCGTATCTTGGTGGGGCATGCCTCCGTTGGGTTTTTGCAGCCATGGCGTCGCCGGACTCTCTTTTTGCCTGAGCTTAAACACACCTCTGAGCCGGTCTCTTTTCCGGCGAAATCGAGTTGTATTTTTTTTGCTCAAAAGCCCTAATCCCCTTTTTGNTCAATTTCACTCTCGTCCGGTCTCTTTTCCGGCGAAATCGAGTTGTATTTTTTTTTGCTCAAGAGCCCTAATCCCCTTTTTGACAACCGTGGAATCAGAATATTGGTTTCAGTTCGACCCGATTTAGATTCGGAATGTGCTTTTGAAATAAGGCCCAATTGATTAGGGCACAATATATAAGAAGTGGCGATAACACTAAAATAGCAAAAATCTCATTAGTTTAAGTCTGAGGCAGCGGTGAAAGCAGAGAGCTGTAGGGAGTTTTAATGGGTGGTTTTGCCCCTCTCTGTCATTCTCCGCCACCGATGATCACTCAAATGAAAATTTTCCGATTGCAAAACCACCCTTAGTTGATTGATTTATTACTCCCTTTGTTCAAATTGATTAGAGGCTATGAAGATTTTTGTTTGTGAAAAAGACAGACTTATAAATCTATTGAGCTGGAAAAAACTGTATCTTGGCATGGCAGCGCAGATATGTCTATGAGATACAATAACAACAACATATACGCAGACCTTACCCTACCTTGTGGGTCTATGAGATATTGGAGAAAATCCATTTTTTGGGTGTTTTTTCCTGTCTCATAAGGCTAACTTATGCTTGCAGCCATGGCAGTTTTTTCCAAAGCTTTTTGGGTTTTGTCTGAGAAAAGGCGAATCTGAGCCTACCCCATTGCTTTTAATTTTGGTTTTTGCTTTTTTGCTTTTTTTCTGCTACTTGATTATATAGGCAAAATCTGAGCTCATACCTCATTTCAACTTTTGGTTCACTTTTAAGACTAACTCTTGAGAAGCATTGTGGAAATAATTCTTAGCTTGAAAGGTATTCATTTCAGTCTAAAACTAGTTTGATTTTCCAGAATGTTCTGGAATAATTTCTCCAATGTTTTCAGTATCTGAATTTTAGTAATTGAACGATAAATGGTGATGGTAGCAAAAATAATTGATGGCCAAAGATCAAATAAGAAAGCAAACAACAAATTCTCTGCTTTTGAAGTTCTAGGAATGTGAATGCTAAGTTCTATTTGAGAATTAACTTTATTGCGAAAGATGTACTTCTTGATACTTTAGCCTATTTTTCTCTGTTTATGAACTCTCTTTGTTGAATGATAATGCTGCTTCTTAGATATGTGTGTGCCTAAAAATGTTTTCTTTTCACTATAATTCTAAGAATCAAAATGCAAACAAGTAAAGTCTATTTTTGAGTTTCTTTGTTGGTAAATATGTTCTTTTTGATACTTAATCCTATTTCCCACTTGTTTTTAAAATGTAATGATTTGGTATGCTCTTGCCCTGAGATGGGTGTGCCTTAGTATTTTTCTTTGTCGAATCATAGGCATCATATGCTAAAGAGGTACTTTCCAATACTTTAGCCCTTATGTTCTCTGTTTTCGAACTCTGAAAAGAATCAGAATACCTGCTTCTTTGACATGGATGTGCCTAAATGTGTTTCCTTTTGTCTAGAAATCTAGGCATTTGAATACTAATGTCTATTTTTGGGTTACTTTGTTGCTGAGATATTTTTTTCCGACTAATCCTGATTGGTGAGTCCATGATCTCATCAAGCATTATCTAGTAATTCGATTACTGAACTTTTAAAAAAATTTATTGCCACTGCATCTATTTATGCAGGAGCTCTGCAGTTGGTGTTGCAAGTTAAAAGCTAAAATCATAGACCTTAACAAGGAAGGCAATACATTTTTGGGGAAGTAAGATCGTTGTATAATTTAACCAAATTTTGCAGTTGTTGCTTGTTTTGTGAATACCCACTAATTGTGTATATTGAGTTCGTGCTGATTGGTTTTTCGTGAGATTTCTTGTTTTTATTGGTTTTTTGGCACACTTTGTGATTGACCTAAAGAAGTCATACTTCTTGCTCTTCTCCTTCAATTGTTTTGTTTATTCTGTGCATGAAGGAATTCATCCTAAATGATGAGTAATTCAAGTAAGCTATGGATTAACATCCAAATGAAGCTTTTTGTCATAATTAACCCTGATAGATGGATGAGATTCCTCTCTATTTTTTTGTTACATCCTTCATTAGGTCTGTACTTACACACGACCCTCCCTACCACGGTGTGAGATAATATTTGGTATGTTGTTGTATTCCTAATTAGGTCTATTTTTTTGTGGTGCATCCCTTATTAGCTCTATTATTTTGTTGTACATCCTTTATTAGCTCTATGTTATCATAACAACTGGTCTAAAAAATTGTTTTACATGGTGTATTTTAAAGGGCAATCCGGTGCACTAAGTTATCGCTATGTGCGGAGTCCATGGAAGGGCCGGACCACAAGGGTATATTGTACGCAAGTATTTTGCATATTCTTAGCGTAAATGTCAAGCTTTTTCGATTTTGGTTTTTTTAAACTTCTGCTCAGTCCGTCCAACACATTTATTTTGTGGTTACGTTTATAATTCTTGTTTTCAAAAGTACTATGTGATTTTCTTTTGTAATTACGTTTGTATTCCCTGTTGTCAAGAGCGCACAAGGATCTCGGCAGGAATATTGGTAGCTCCATCGAGTTCAAAAATACAGGATAACTACTTACCTCAGTTGTGACATTATACTATAATGCTAATATAACCGGTTGAACGATATTATTTAGGAAAAATTATGCGACACATCAAACATGTAAACTGTATTTATCATTTGTAGCTATACTTTCGAAAAATGGCCATCCGTAGCTATATTTGAATTTTATAGCAAATCCATGGAATAAGAGATCAAATGGTTTGTGAAACAAGAGAGCAACAAGCTTTCGTAGCTTAGTTGGGTAGAGCGTCTTATTAGTAAGCGAAGGTCTTGAGTTGAGTTCAACTCAATTCTTAACAAGAGTATTTTATTTTTTTGTATTTCGCCTTAATTATATTCTTTGAAGAAACAAATGTAGTTGATTGTATCATTTGTATACACATGTATACACTTGATACTCATTTGTATACACCTCTGTATTTTTCATTGGTTGTATTCGTTGCGTGAACGAATACAATTGATACAAGTTGTATTCTTTGTGCGAATGAATACAGTTGACACAAGTTGTATTTGTTGCATGTTTAAATACAAGTGATATAAGTTGGTAACAATTGAACAGTCACTTAATTAGGCAAACTATAGTTACTAGGCTCTAAGTTGTTAGTTACTTGGACTTTTCAAGCAAGAAACAAATAGATGGAAATATAATGGAACAACAATAACATACCCAGCAATTATCCACTCTATGTAGTTTGGGGAGGATAGTGTGTGCATAGACATTACCCCTACCATGTGAGGATAGAGAGGTTGTTTCTAATAGACTCTCGGTTCAAAAAAACATAAGCACCACATTGATGAAAATATAGACAAAAAGGGACAACACCAAAAGACAACAAGATAGTAAGGTGATTAACAATGAAAGAAAACAACGGTTAATCATAAAAATCTACCACCAACAAAAAACGAGATTGCGTGTGAATACTATTATTATGAACACTCTAAACTATCTATTTTACTGCCCTAATCTTGACCTCCAATATAATGGAACAACTAACTCTATTAAAGCGGGAGCTTGACAATAGATTTAGTTATTGATATAAGTATAATTTAATATCTTGCCTGTGAATATAAATTATATATCAACCTTATCGATGTACGTAAGTTTGCCTCTACTTGTTCCAAGATGTAATAGACAAAGTTAGATCACTTACAAACACAACATATGGGAAAGAGTGAGAGACACTTGAAGGCATTGTTTCGTATGTGGTGATTTTAAGTGCATAGTTGAGTTAAACTTGGATGGGTTAAAACAAGTTGCAGTATTATTAATTGAGTTGTAATTTGCTTAAAGTGTTTTAGGTCTAGAGGAGTTATATTATTTTAAACTTAATAACTTGGATGAGTTGGAACAAGTTGCAATATTATACACTGAGTTATAATTATATTTGGCTTGGAGACCTCACTTATCCGATCACATTGGTTAAGTTGTTGTTGAGTTGTAATTCGCTTAAAGCCCTTTCGATCCAGAGGAGTTATATATCATTTCTAACTAAATAATAAGTCATTGATCTAATCTGTCTAACTCAAAAATCATTTCTAGTTAGAACTAGTCTGTTTAATTACCAAATTAACTAAAAAACAAGCATTTTTCTCATCATAATTATATTTAGTAAACCTAATAGAAGAGATTTATTTTTCATGTTTCAACATTTTCATATGGGTCAAAATTCAGCTGGCATATATAAACTAAGTAGGCGTTTGGACATAAGAATTGTAAAATTCGAAAAAATGATGAAAAAAAAATTCAAGTAAAAATGGTATTTGAAATTTAGATTTGTGTTTGGACATAAATTTCAGTTTGGGTTGTTTTTGAAGTTTTGTGAGTGATTTGAGTGAAAAATTTGAAAAATAGCTTTTTGCAGTTTTTCAAATTTTCGAAAATTTTCAAAATGCATCTTCAAATGAAAATTAAAAATTTTATGAACAAACGCTGATTACGAAAAAAAATAAAAAAAAATTGAAAAAATCTTGCATCAAATTTTATGTCCAAACGGGCCCTAATTGCTCTAGACTTTCACATGGTCTAACTTGGATTGTGTTCAATTAACTATGCTTATTTCTTTGATTTTGTTAAGAAATCTAGCTCAAAATAACAGTATAAAATAAGAAAATAAACAAGAGATGTAGATAATAAACAAGAGATATAAAGAGAAAAAAAGAATTTTCTTATTTCTTTCAAGTGTGTATAACATGATTCTCGTTATTTCTATTTATAGGGTTAATTATATCAAGTAAAATAGTTGGAGTAACTTATTTAGGAGTTATAGACATCTACCATAATGTTATATATTTCATAAGAGATCTGTCAAATTACTATATTCATTTCATCCTAAAAATATCCACGGAAAAATAAAATACATATCATAAAGTCAAAAAGTATATTTTGTGACGCCCCATTCATTTAACAATTGAATAAAAACAATTTGATTTATTTTTCAAAGATATCTTATATTCCGATTGCAAAACCACCCTTAGTTGATTGATTTATTACTCCCTCTGTTCAAATTGATTAGAGGCTATGAAGATTGTTGTTTGTGAAAAAGACAGACTTATAAATCTATTGAGCTGGAAAAAACTGTATCTTGGCATGGCAGCGCAGATATGTCTATGAGATACAATAACAACAACATATACGCAGACCTTACCCTACCTTGTGGGTCTATGAGATATTGGAGAAAATCCATTTTTTGGGTGTTTTTTCCTGTCTCATAAGGCTAACTTATGCTTGCAGCCATGGCAGTTTTTTCCAAAGCTTTTTGGGTTTTGTCTGAGAAAAGGCGAATCTGAGCCTACCCCATTGCTATTGATTTTGGTTTTTGCTTTTTTCTTTGCTACTTGATTACATTGGCAAAAATTTGAGCTCATACTTCAATTTAAGTTTTGGTTCACTTTTGAGGCTGTAACTTTTGAGCAGCATTGTGGAAATAAGTCCTTGTTATAGGAAAACTAATCTTTAGTTTCTGGTGATAAGTCCTTCAAGGCAGTATTACAGACTTGGCATTATGCTAATGTTGAGCAATACTTATATGCCTCATAATTTTCAAATTGAAAAGGAAAACAGAGCTTCTATGCATTGTGAGTTAGTCTCTTGACTGCACTTTGGTAAGTCAACTTTAACAACACCATATTTTTATTTGAGTCTGACTGGAACATGCTGAGTCTGACTGTTCTCCAATGTGGCAGTGCAAAAAAGCAGTCTTGTAAAAACATCCATTTACTTTTTATTTTTAATTCTAGATAGTGAACAGGTAAATAAATCCCTGTATGTGTTCTTTATTCTCTTTAAAATGTGGCCCTTGCAGCGATTGTGCATTGTGGAATTTATGGATATCAGAAGATCTCCATCTTAAAAGTGCCATCAACCTTAAGAATTTGTAAGGTTGTAAATAACAGGAGATACAATACTGGTCTTTTCTGAACTGTTGTTAATTATTTGGATTTTAAGGAAGCATTTTATCTCCCAAAATTTGTCAGTAAGTTTTCATGCACCTCCTACGAGAGCGGATTTTATAACGCCATTTAAGTGACACAAGCGTGGTTTTCAATTGTCTTGAAAGGGTCTTAAAATTTTAAATTTGAGAATAATTGTATGTTTAATGCAAAAAAGGAATTGCAAATAAGGCAACTTTGCCGAGGGTATCTGTTTTTGTTGATTCCCTCTTTTCCCTGTTGCCAATATTTTATAATTGGACAAGCTTGGAACAATTTTAGTTGATGAACTATACATGTTTCTGACCTCAGCTGATTCTAGCTTGGCTACATTCTCTATCTCTCTTTTGATCTGATAAATTTAGTACTTTGCATATTCTTAGTGTAAATGTCAAAGTTTTTTCTTTTTTGATTTCTTAAACTTTGTGCTCAGGCAAAACACGTTTCTTTTGTGATTCTGTTTTAAAAAAGTATTGGATAATTTTCTTTTGTAATTACGTTTATATTCATTCATTGAGCAGACGGTTTATCGAAAACATCTCCACCTTCTCTATGGTAGGGATAAGGTTGCATGCGTACTATCTTTTACCGTGCATACTACCTTTTAAAGATACCAATTGTGGGTTTATTGTTGTTGTAATACGTTTTTATTTCCTGTTGTCAAAAGTACTATGTGATTTTCTTTTGTGATTACCTTTGTAATACCTTTATTCAAGAGTACTATGAAATTCCTTTTCCTTTTGCACCCCCCCTCCCCCCCTTAATTTTATCCTTGTTTTCAAGATTGGTTAGAGGTGCAATTTTCTTCACACTTTTTCCTTGTCCGGGTGTAAGTATTTCCCATGTTATTATAGGGTAAATTGCATTAAGTACCCATGTAATATGGGGTCGGATACAGGTAGAGCTCATATATTTTTATATCAAGCACTTACACCCCCTTTATAGCTGAAATTCTACACAAATATATTCTTTTACAAATCTTTAGGTGTTGTGGTGGCCAGGATTTCAGCAGGAATATTGGTAGCTGCACCGAATTCAAAAATACAGAAATTACTTACCTGTCAGTTGGTGTAGATTATTTTTAGTCCCTCCGTTTTAATTTACGTGACATTAACTATAATGCTAATATAACAAGTTGTACGATGTTATTTACTATTTTTCTTTTCAAATTATCAATCTACGTTTAGTACTTGCAAGCAATTGTTTTGATTAAAAAAATATATATTCGGACTATAAAACTAAAGCTTTTGTACAAGGTGTTAGTTGAAGTAAACGACTTTTTGCATTCCCGAAGTCTTAACTCATAAGTTGGATTTTTTAAGCTTGAAATAAAAGGAGGATATTATATGGGAAAACCTGACTGTATAATTTAACTTATAGTCTTGACTCATAACTCATAAGTATAATCTAGTATCTTGCCTATAAGCGTAAATTACTATAATTACATTATCGATATAAGTACAATATTGCCTCTACTTGTTCCAAGATGTAA